AGTATATGCGAAGGCACCATCACGACATACTATTTATCTAGTTATTGATGTTTTCATTTTAGTAAGCAACATATAAAAACATGTATTGTTAATAGTTGAACAAAACTATCATACATAGTATGATTGGGGTTCCTTGTTTAAAGTATATGTTCCATGAAGTGGCTAGTGTGCTCCCTCTCCTTGCTGAAACCTTGCTTTACGTCACACTAGCAACTCCTGAAAGCAACCCATACTGGCTTCTGCTTGGCCTAGCTTATTATGTGTGAACCAGTGACATTATTGTATTAAAAAATATGAACCAGTGACCAAGAAGAGACCCAGCCTGTCATTTTTTTACCAAAATTGAGTAGAACGTCTAATAAATGTGGTTGAATTTAAAAATTCTCATGTGCACAATGACATTATTGTATTGAAAGAAAGCACATGTATAGTGTCTGGACACATTGTAGAATTAGAATATGAAACTTAATGATAAATGTATCTCTAGTTGCATGCCAATAAAAATGAAATGTATCTCCAGTTGTACTTAAAGATCATTAGTCCCAACTTATTTTTCCCCTTCTAAAACTCTGCAAATTGAATTCTTACAATTTGCTTAATAGAAGTATGGTACTGCTATACTGTTATTTGCCCACATTGCCCAAGTTCCTTACTATTATTTACCCACAAGCTCGTTTATGGGCATTTTGGCAACTAATATCCTACTAGGGGACTGAAAACATTTCTAGAAATTTAGTTAACAAGAAGTCATAATGGCTTCTTTTTTCTCCCCACTAACTAGGAAACCATGGATTCCAAAGTCATAATGCCCCACAATTTAAGGAACTTGAGATACTATTTTGAATCCTAACACTTGCTTATTTCTCAGTTTGAATGCTCTTTTCAAATTATCTGAATATCATTACACAAGTATGTCAATTTTCTTATGAGCTGTAACATCCAAAGGCAAGGTATCCCAACAAGATTAGATTGTGAGCTTTAAGATACAGTACAATGTTAACATTTTAAAATTAAAAATAAACAGGAAAAACTAGAAACTTGAAATAGAACAATGTAGGCACATTAAAATTATCAAATGCATACTTGCATTATAATTTGAATTTTTACCCTTTTCTATACATTTGTACATTCAAATTTTTTTCTTTAAATTGAATGTTATCTATGAAATTATGGTTTCTTTGCTGATATTGTTTACATCAGTCATTTAATATATTCGAGTTTTTGCTGATATTGGGTTTAATGTTTTTTTTTACATAGAAATGGTTAGTGGTGTCTCACGTAAGAGACCAACAACATCCAACAGAAGACGTGCTAGGCAAACAGAACCAGTGGATGATGTTGGTGTGGATGATGACAACACAGAACCAGTTCTGGGTACTCTAGAGGATCCTTCATTGCTAATTAGCTTCCGTAACCATGTTGCTGCCGCTGTTTGGAAGAAAAAGGTATTTTGAGAATTTCTCAACAATAAACTAATCATATGTACTATATGCTTCAAATTATTTATATGTTTTATGTAAAATGCAGGAACGGGGATCTCTTAAATGTTTGAATCGTTCTCGAAAGCTTGCCGAGTGGCTATGGATGTCACCAACAGTCCAAAATGTTAGGTGGAGACATTTGGTTGAGCAATCTGGTCTTAGTGTCCTTATTGATCACACATATCGGCATGGCAATAAAGTGGCAATATCTGCCTTCGTTGAAAGGTGGCATCCAGAGACAAATACATTTCACATGCCAGATGGTGAGATGACTGTCACATTGGATGATGTGCGGACCATACTTGGCATTCCAGTCACTGGCATGGCTTGGTCATGTCCTAAGTTAACAAGATACGATGCTGCTGAACTGGTGAATGCTAGTTTGGGAGTGCCAGTGAATGATGCATTTGCAGAATTAGTTCAATCTCATGGGAAATCCGTGAAGCTAGAGTGGTTGCGAATTAGATTTCATGAAGTTAATGATACAGATGATGCAAATTTCATAGAATACGCAGCGAGAGCTTACTTGCTATATTTATTAGGTTGTACCCTCTTTGTTGACAAGAGTGGGACTCGAGTACCTGTTGCTTACTTTCACATGTTAAATGAGATTGATGCTGTTAGCTCATATGCATGGGGTGCTGCAGCTTTAGCATTCCAGTATAGACAATTAGGACTTGCTAGTAGGGCTGGTGTTAAGCAGATTGCTGGTTACTTGAAGCTATTGGAAGCATGGATTTATGAGCATTTTTGTTTAGGAAGGCCTCATCTAAATTTGTCCCATTCTGATGAACAACCTCGTGTATGTCGTTGGAGTCTGTGGAGAGATAGAGGTTTTACAGAAGGCCACTTGCATACATTACGAGAGCAACTTAACATGTTACGTGCTAATGAGGTTAGACATTTTATAATAGTGTGATATTGTTAAAAAAAAAAAAAAAAAGATTTCCCTAACTAACATTATGCATTCCCTATTTGTAGATCGAGTGGGATCCATACCGTTTATGTAGGACACACCATCCACTTCATGAGGTTGCATATTATACTAGATGTTTGAAATGCTTTGATATTGTTGAACCCTATCACCCCAATAGGGTTTTGCGACAGTTTGGTAAGGTCCAAACCATCTCACCAGAACCATTATCTCCTGTTCGAGCTACACAGGGCAGTAAACCAGGACAATATAGAATCATGTATCAATACCATGACACAATATGGGCGCAATGGGAGAATCATGTGTTGTCCATTAATGCTCGTAGTGTGCCTGTACAGCAGCAGCCATCTGAATGTGTACGGGGATACCGTGAGTCGTATGCTCGTGTTTCGTATCGGGTTGTTCAAAATCCTACACATCACTCTCAGTTTGATCCACGTGTTCAACGTCCCGATAATGACGTTACTATGGATCCTGAGTGGGTAAGCAAATTGTGAATTAACTTTTTTCACTTTTAAGTGGTTCACCATAAATCAAACACTAAGTACGATTTTTATCAATTTTTTTTGCAGTGTAATGATGCTGCTTTCAATGTTGGTGCTGCAGTCTATAGGCTCGGTCGTGATGAGTGTGTCTTGCACCTTGACATGCTGTATGAAACCATTGGTCGCAAGCTGCAATTTCTTGATGGACAGAGTTTGGGATCTACTTCGACACGTACAGAGCATCAAGTCTAGTATCGTAAACGTCGTAGGATGGACCGAACATGAGGATTGAGATCTACTTTTTGTTTGAAGACATAATTTTGCATAATATCTAGCCCGTATACATGTTGGGATATAGTTTTGTGTTAACCATACATGATATTTGGGATGTAGTTTTTTTTTTTTTATGGCATAGTTTTTGTGAAAGCCTACCCCGTACAGAATTTGGGATCTAGTTTTTTTTTTATGACATAGTTTTCGTGAATGCCTAGGCCATACAGAATTTGGGATATACTTTTCCCTTTTGGCATAGTTTTTGTGGATGCTTTGGATCTTTTGTAAACTGGATGCTTGGTTAGATAAGTAATGAATTGTCATACTTTCGTAAGAATTTTAAACAGTTTCACATCTATTTTGTATTCAATATTTATGTCAATGGAAACTTATTTTGGCGAACATATGGATTTGTTATTGTTTGTAATGCATTGTAATGATATTAAAGTGTTTTGGAGGGATATGGTACCATTTGCTAGAAGTAACATTGTTTTTTTCAGTGCTATAGGCCAGTTTAGCGTCATACTGCTAAACAATTTGAATTATTCCGGTGTTCAGTTGCCGGAAACAATAGATTCCTCCAGCATTTAGTTGCTATATATTTCCAGAGCCACTTTATCCTAAACAATGTCTTTTTTTATTTGTGCTGGGCCAGTTCGGTTATACATTGCTAAACAATTTGAACTACTCTAGTTCCATGTTACCGGATAAATTTTTTTTTCCTAGCATTATGTTACCATTCAATTTGATAATTTTTGTTCGCTTCCTAACAAAGCCAGTAGAGTCCACATTGAAGTGCCTGTTCGGTCATACAATGCGAAACAATTTACAAAAATTTGGTGCTGTAATGCCGAAATAAATGGTTTTGTCTAGCCTTTTGTGGCTATACATTTATAGAGCCACATCCTCCCAAATGATGTGGTAATAATTTGTGCTGGGGCTGTTCGGTAATAAAATGCTAGTGAATTTTAATTAATCCAGTGTTGTGTTACCGACAAAATAGTTTTTCCCAGCATTATGTTGCCATACGATTGGAGAATTTCAATTTGCTTCATAACAATATCAGTGGAGCCCACTGTGAAGTGTCTGTTTAGTCACACAATAGTAGACAAATTACATTTGTTCAGTGTTATGTTGCTGGAAAAAATATATTTGTCTAGCGTTATGTTGCTATACATTTACAGAGCCACTTTGTTATAAATAATAATTTGGGGCTATTCAGTAATAAAATGTTAACGAATTTGAATTAATCTAGTTCGATAAAAAACATCCATAAATCAAACAGGCATCTATAAAATCAAAGATAAAAAGTTTCCATAAAATATTTCATAACAAAATCAAATGTACGAATATCCATAAAAGCATCCATAAAATTTGTCATTGTTTGCATCCATCAATAAAACATGTTATCACAATTCTTCTATATCGATTGTTTCGGTAGTTATTACGTCAGGGCTGATAAGAGTGCGGAATTGCTAAATACGGATAATATATGCTTTCTTCCATCCAATAGCACACGAGTGATGAAAATGAATCCAATTATTTGCTATCGGAGGTACTGGATGACCAGGTTACAGATAAACCTATAACAAAGAAATCAATAAATATAATTACAAAATAAGACATGGTAATGATGTAAGTAGGCTCGGTAGTTACTTGCATGAAATGGTTTCCATTTACAAATCTTATGCAGATATCTCTTCGTTCAAGTGTTGCAATCGGTATTGATCTAAGTGGTAAAAACTTCAAGCATTGTTGCATGGATAAATGGTAAAGAACGACTCGATAGTATGATGCTATCAAATGTCCCATGTCGGGCATAGTCATTCAATGATTAAATCCAGGGCTAGGTTCGAAGTAGGATAAGATAGAGTTAAGTTCATCAACCCTTTCTTGTGAACCAAATAGTTGCATGTAGTGCACTACATTCGAATGCAACTCAGTCAACAAGTTGCGCCTAACTTGTTGCCAATCATCTTCATTTAAACCAATCAATCCAGCTATTGCCCTGAAGCCATAATTGCCATCTGCTTGTACATCTTTTATGTGACGGATATATGGTCTCAACTTCTCCGGAAATTGTTCGAAGTAAGAAATACTATTTGTTGACTGTGTCATACAAACCTACATCACAAATATACAACAATGGATATATGGAATAATTAAAATGAGGTTGGAAAACTATTAAAATATATTTTGTACATAGTTACAAGTTTTATGTAATTACGTACATTATCTTTTTTTGCTTTCTTGCGTTGCACTTGCTTACGAACTGGTGTAGTTGAGATGGTAACACCCTGTGAATAACTATCTTCCCCAGATAGTACAAACTCAAACGCAGATGGCTCGCGTTTAGTAGATGTATCGATTTTGAATTGACCACAGCCGCGACCCCGGCTCCTTCCTCTTGTGTCAGTCTTGAGTTCAGGTTCCATCAAAAATGTACTATATGGACTAATTAACTCCCGCAACTTCTTCAGAATGATCACTTGATGCGTCTCGTCAATCGTTTGGAATTTCTCAATAAAAAAATCAGTCTCTGTTTTGCAATCCAACTTCACAAAAGCATTTTCTGAAATTGGAAGCATATCTAACTTCCTCCAATGAGGATTTACGCACGATAGGGGAATCGGTCGACCTTGTTGAAAATACTTAGCTATTTCATGTGCACATGGCAACCCATGTGTACGTCGCAAAATGCAGCCACATGCAGCAACATCTATTCCCACACTATTCGATCTCTTTGACTCTACTAATATTTTGTCCAAACTACAAATTGAAATAAAACCACAATGAACTCAGTAGGTGTGTAGTTGTGTTGGACTACAATCAAACTCTGCTGAAATGAGGCTTTAATGTCTACATGCTGCAACTCTAACAAATTGTGGGTATGTTTGGTTTGTGTTTGTAGAGTAGTTTTTGAGATAAATAGTACGAAAACTTGTTTGGTTTGCCTTTTTTCAGAAATGGTTTTGGAAAATTATTTTAGGGAGAGAGTTTTAAAAAAAGTGATTGATTTGATGTGTATAAGAGAGAGAGTGATTTTGGAAAGTAGGTAACCAAACAAAATTTTGAGATTTTTTTTGAAAAAATTTGTTTGGTTTGATTACTCTTGAAAATTTGTTTGTAGAGAATTTTTTCCAAAAATTTTTCTGAAAAACAAACCAAACAAGGCCTGTGTATTTTGGTCCAAGATGTCTCAAAACTGCCTTGACTTGATCCAAGTTGCCTCTTCAATTTAGCATGAGAACTCTCCGCCCTACAAGTTTGTATATTTTGGTATTTAATATAAAAATCAAAGAATTATAGCAATTCATAAATGCAATGACCATAATTTACCTGTTTGTAGTAGTATTTCCGAAATGCATATTACTATCTGTCCAAGCTGCAACAAATTTTTCCTTGTATGGCTCTAACCAATTGGTAGTAACATACTTAATAGCTTCAGGATACGTACTGAATTTAGTCTTCATAGTGGAAAATTGTTCATTGAATTCTGCGTCTGTTCTAACCAATACCAAAGCACTCAACCTATGCATGAACTTATCCCATTTATCTTTCGTCTTAAAAACCTTCTTACACTTCATCAAAACATTCTTACTAATATGCCATCTACATAAAAGATTAGTGGCCATAGGTAGAACTTTTACTATGCCTTTCATCAAAGCCAACTCCCTATCTGTAATAATGACTTTTGGAAAAGTAGTATTCTCCATAACAGTACGCAATACGCCTAAAGCCCATGTATAGTTGTCCTCCCATTCATGACCAAGATAATCAAAAGCAACTGAAAAAGTCAAGTCCGTTGATGTTACCCCAACAATCTCTAAGAGAGGGAGTCGATACCTATTAGTCTTGTATGTATAATCCATAATCAACACATGTGGAAATGCATGTAACAACTCCAAACTAACTGGGTGTGCCCAGAACAAGTCAGTCACCATCTCTCTATCATCACATCGATACCACTCAACATAATTTTGAATCGACAATTGCCCCAGTAGTTGTTGCACCTGTGATCTTCCCGCCCTTTGTACTACTCAATGTCGATGACGTGCATTGCAGATTGTCTTCATTGTTGTCGCATTAAAGGCATCCCTTTGTTTCAATGTAACCAATATCTCTTTTGGTCGCACCATACTCTTTGACATGTCAACTAATAAGGATGTTTTCTCCTTAGATAATCTGCCAGCAAATGAGTGCCCTTCAAGATGTTCAGCAGATGGATGATTGTACACTCCACATAGGACATGCAACATCCACTCATCATTTGTAGGTAATTTTCCCCCCTTAATAGAAATGGACATCCACACTTTTTAGAACATGTCAACCTCAATCGTTCCCCCTTGATCTTCATGTTGTCTCTATAATAACCACTTCTTTCACAAGCAAGGGTAATTCTTGGTTTTTTGTCATTACCTCCTGCATCTGATGTCTTTATAACAATGACAAATCCAGTCTTCCTTCCAACGTCAGAAGCCCATTTAATTAATGCTTGACGACTACTAAAAATCTAAACATAAAAAATACATTTGTACGTCAAATTATTAATAAAACTCAATACAAATTAGAAATAAGAAAAAATTGTATTCATAAAAAAACTTAACAAACGTCGTCTGTAATGAATTCATGACTGGAGTCCACTAATAATGCAGTACTTGCGTTGTTGCAATGAGTATAAATATAATCATTCCAAGCAAAAAAAAAATTATATTGAAAATACATGGCAATGAGTAGCCGAACAAATTTAAAAAATCTGGCTTTATATTACCGAAAATTTATATTTTATTCGGCAATTTGATACTAGACTTATGTTTTTTTTTTCAGCACTGTGATACCGGACTATGTTATTTTGTTCAATTTCGAAGCACTGAACAAAAGTCGCACACCAACCCAGAAAATCGAAACAAAAACCTATCACACTAAAAAAAAAAAACTCACAATTTTATTTTTTTGATGATTTTTCACCACCGTTTCTTCATCCATTGCTTTTTTTGATGATCAAAATACTATGATTAGCAGTTTTTCAAAAGAGATGTGTAAGAGAAAAGAAAAGTTGAGAAAGGAAAAAGAAAAGTAGGAATTGAAAGGTCAGGGGGTGTAAGGAGATAATCAAATACATTTAATTTTAGTGTTTTGTCCCTTTAAGTAATTTCACATATGGATAAAATTGGAAGAAAAAAATAATCTTATATGGAGGGTGTAAGGAGGTAAAAGAGTGGTGTAAGTAGAATCACCCTAATAAAAAACGGTTTAGATTTTATGGTATAAAACACTCAGAAAGGAGATTTACCAAAAAAAAAAGAAGCTCCCTTTAAAATAATAATAATATAATTACAAGTGACTCCATAAAACTGCACCAAATAAGACCATTTAATAATGGTTAGTTAGATAATAGCAAGACCTGACATTTACTCCAACAGTCTGCTAAGACTAGGGTTGAAAATGAGTCGAGCTGAGCTTTAGTATGTTCGAGCTTGTTTATTAAGATTTTACCGAACTCGAGCTCGAGCTCGAGCTTAATAAAATTTAATGAACCGAGCTCGAGCCCAGTTGACTTAGGCTTGACTCGAGCTCGAACTTGTTCACGAGCCTTAACGAGCCAAAAAATTTATGAATTCATACTTGCGTATAAGACTAAAGTTACAATTAAAATTTTGATTATACAATTATATATACAATATATATAAGCATACTAAAAAAAAAAAGTCAATATTTTACTAAAATAATATCTACTACCACTATTATATAAATGTACTATCTATAATTAACTATTATTTACATTTATATTTTTTTAATATATAAATAATATATTTATCTTATTTTTTATACTTATTTTTATATTATTTAATATATAAATAATAAATATTAAACGAGCCAACTAACAAGCCAAGTTTACGAGTTGAGCTTTAGAATTTTTGGGCTTGTTTATTAAAAATTTAACGAGAATGAGCTCGAGCTCAAGCTTGAACTCGAATGCAAAAAAAATTTAATGAACCAAGTTCGAACGAGCTCTTGCTGAGCCGAGCTCGAGCTTGTTCACGAACGGCTCTGTTCATTTGCAACTCTAGCTAAAACTCATGTCAAATTTGGCCTAAGGTTTGGCGATGCTCTTCCTCTCTACCTCTCTAGTGATAGGCCCATAAATAGTAATTTCATTTGGCATTTTATGAAGAAAATAGAAAATAAAAAATAAAAATAAAAATTGCACCATTAGAACAAGATTGTCAAATTTTATTGTTTTGACATTGCAAGAATCACTACAATATATGAGAGTTTTAGAAATCAAAATTTTTTTTGGTTTTAATAGTGAAAATTTTGTTGCAAAAGACATTTAAGGACTAATTTCTATTGTCATGAGAATAGTCGCTAAAATGTCGTCCCAAAAAGTTAAAAATAAGACTTTTAGCAACAAAATTTTGAAAATGTCACTAATAAAAAAGGTTTATTTTTTGAGACAAAAATTTAGTCTCAAAAAGATAATAATTCATCATTAATTTTCAATTTTTGTTGTTAAAAATATAATGACAACATTTTTTGCAATAAAAATATTTAGTCCCTAAAAAATAATTTTGTCTCTAAATTTTAGTCTCTAAAACTTTAATTTTTTTGTAGTGAATAAACCCTTGTCATACCTTATGGTATATTTGGCACAACGAATATGTATAAATAAAATTACCAAACTCGTCAAACATAGAGAGATGATGATAAGTAGTTGTGAGTAAAAGTAGAAAATTATAATTTAGTGGTTGTTATTAAAGTAAGAAAATATAGCAAAGATGAGTAAATATTGTATGTGACGAAAATCTCCTTTTGCAGTAAGGACTATAATATTATTAGTTCAACGAGAGATAAAACTTGTTCACACGTAATTCATTTGAGACTTTTTATTGATTGGTAACACTATTATTACTGTTACATTTAATATTTTTTTTTAATAAATACATCATTGAAACAATATTGCTAAATTACAACAATTCGACACTTTTTATTGTTAAAATATAAGAATAGCTAAAAATTTGATTTTAGGCATCAATGGAGAGACTGTTATACTGAGTGTGGTTAGTTCATGATATAGTGTTTTAGCACATGGATGTGTGAATAGCAGAGTGGGACTCTTGACCCGTGTTGTTGTTAACTATGCTTTCTGTATGTAGGCCAAGTCATGAAGAAAGATTGTTGCATGACACTTCAACAATGATGCCTAAATTGATGTGGTGCTTGACCAAAAAAAAAAAAGAAAAAAAAAAATCATATGGCTGCTTCATTGGTATCAACAGAGTTTCACATGCCTTTCAAGAACTAGTAGCTCATTGGCCCCTCAATCAGGTTGACCTAAAGTGTGGAATGTTGTGGTTCCCATTTTTTAATGGCATTTGTCAAACTACTATTGGATCATGCATTCACATGAATGGGATTAGAGAAGACTGCATTCTTTGTCGTCATCTTTTCTGACATTCCATCTCAAATTGCTTCTTTATCATATAATCAAAAGATCTCGTATTAATTGAGGACAGAGGTAGTTATATTAATTGTTATCATATATGAGTTATTTATGTATGTTTTTGTAATAGTGATGGTTGCAAACATGATACGTTTGTAAATGTAAATTTAATTTTTTTTTTTTGATAAGTTTAGACAATTTAATAAATGAAGAAAATGAGTTGAATTTAAAAATAATATGGAGGAATTACTCAATGTGGAATTACAAACAATTTTATGAGCAATCTTAGTAAATAAAATAAGCGTGATAAAGTTTCTTGTTCTAAGTGGTGTGCTTTTAACAATAGAATTGATATTTATGAGTTGTGTATTGCTCTCAAAGATGAAAATTAAAAATATGCAAAAATATCTTGTGTAAGTTTTTTGCCGACTTGAATCAGAGTAAAGTATATCATGAACACAATGTTAAAGGAGTATATCAGATAAATAAAAATTTAAAAAAAAAGGTAAATTAATATAGATAGCAAATAAGTGCATAATTCTCACTTTGTACATGGCACATGCCTTGCTTGTACTTCATTTTTAATTATTTATTATTCATTGACCCAAGGTTGAAATGGTTAATTAGCATGAAATGGTGAAAAGTTATTTGGGTCATGGGCCTGTTATGTGGTGGGCTTGAGACAAATATTTAGCCCTATATATAGATAAAATAGAATGGTTGAAATGTTTCTTGGATTCAGACAACATGAGGTGGACCATGGATTTTTGTTGTTTGGTGGCATGTGATTTCTCCATTATTGGTTGATTTGAAATATGTATCTTTGATTGATTTAAGCTAAGGTGAAGAAGATCATGAAGCCTTTGAAAATTGTTTAGAAAAACATGTTTTGATGACCCACTCATATCTTACATTTGCATGCGCAATTGTCAGCATAGATATCTACTTACTATTATTATTTTCTTAAAAGAAGAAAAAATCAAGGAAATGCAATAATTATTTTTTTGTAGTCTACAAAATTAGTTGGGGCTAGCCCTTCCCCAGACAAGAAAAAGGATATATAAATAACTAAATCATTTTTGTCTCATTCCTATTTTTTTTTGGAGAAAATTATCTGATGATTTTGGGATAAAATGATATGGTGTTCCAAATTAATTTTTATTAATTGAAACAACGGAAACTTAATAATTTTTGAGAAACAAAAGTCACTCTATCTATAAATAATGTAGAGTAATGTTATAAGATTATCAAATAAACTTTTCCTTCTATTTCAAACGAAAAGTCCACTTGAAATCAATTGAAGTGACATGCATGGATTGAGCAATATTAATTTTTAAAAAAATTTAATAAGATAAAATTTTGTTTTGATATTTAGTTTAAAGTCTTAAAAAAATATATATTGAGCCGCTACCACTTTCATTTGGGCAAAAGATTAATTGTCTGGTTTAGTTTCAGAAAATTGAATTTTTATTTTTTATTTTTAGTCAAAAATTTTAATAT